GAGACCCTGTCTCAAAAAAAAAAAAAAAGCTGGGTGCAGTGGCTCACACCTGTAATCCCAGTACTTTGGGAGGTCAAGGCGGATGGATCACCTGAGGCCAGGAGTTTGAGATCAGCCTGACCAACATGGAGAAACCTCATCTCTATTGAAAATTCAAAATTAGCTGGGCTTGGTGGTGCATGCCTGTAATCCTAGCTACTCAGGAGGCTGAGGCAGAAGAATCGCTTGAACCTGGGAGGCGGAGGTTGCGGTGAGCTGAGATGGCACCATTGCACTCCAGCTGGGCAACAAGAACAAAATTGTGTCTGGAAAAAAAAAGAAAGTTTTTTTAAAACAAAAAAACATTAATTTTTTTTTTTTTTTGATGTAGAGAGAAAAATTTAAGGCATCTTGTCCATAATTTTCTACTTTACATTGCAGTTATAAATTAATTTGGGGAAAAGTAGAAAAAAAATGAAACAATCCAGATCTGAAACTAAGATAACTGTTATTTAAATGTATCTTGGGCAGTTTTTAGATGATGATTATTATTAGCTCCTTTAGTGGTTTTACCTACAGATTAATTCAGTGGGAAGAAAATATTGAATACTAAAGCGCAAGTCATTGCTCTGGGAACTTCCATGCATTTCTCTATTTCATGCTAATAAAGAGACAGGTTTTATTATAATTATTAATGCAATTTTCACACAGGGAAAATTGAAGATCAGAGTGGGTAGGTACTTTTGCAAGGACACAAAGTGTTGGAAGGAGCCTATACCTGTCTGACGTTAAAGTCTATGCTTTTTTTCTATGACATAGGGGCTGAAATTCAGACACGAGCACAGTTAAAATACCTTCTTTGTCATCAGCTTACTTTTTGATCTCTGTAGTTCTTATCCAACATTGAGAAATGTTGACTATAATATTTTTGTGGTAATTGTGGTGTGGATTACTTCAGCTTAGGAAAATGTCTTTTAAAAGTTGTGACTAGATAGCTTTTAATAAAACATTTCACAAAAAGTGTCAGATACTATCAGAAGACTTCAGGGTAGTTCCTTAAACCTTTGAATAAAACAAAAACAAAACTTTGGTGAAGGTTAAAAATGGTTATCTTTTATTGAACGTTCACTATATACGTCAGGCATCATGTTAAGCAACTTAAGTGTGTTATTTAAAGGTTCACAGCTGGGCCAGGTACAGCAGCTCACAACTGTAATCCTAGCACTGTGGGAGGCCAAGTGGTATGCTGTCTTGAGTTCAGGAGCAAGAGACCAGTCTGGGCTACATTGTGAAACACCATCTCTACTAAAATACAAAAAATTAGGGGACTGTGGTGATGTGCACCTGCAGTCTTAGCTACTTGGGCAGCTGAGGCACAAGAATTGCTTGAACCCAGGAGGCAGAGGTTGCAGTGAGCTGAGATAGCATCACTGCACCTCAGTCTGGGTGGCAGATTGAGACTCGGTCTCCAAAAGTTTCACAGCTGGGCAAGGTGGCTCACGCCCAGCACTTTGGGAGGCTGAAGTGGGAGGATCTCTTGAGTCTAGGAGTTAGAGTAGCCTGGACAATACAGTGAGACCCCCTCTTGATTAAAAAAAAAATTTTTTTTTAAGTTTCACAACAGACTATGAGGAATACAAACTTATTGTCCTCATTTTACAGATGTGGAAACTGAAACATGGGATGGCTAAGTGACTTATCCAAAGTTGCACAGTCTTTAAGTAGTAGAATGGGGACAGAACAGGCTGACTCCAAAGCCACACCTCTAAGCCTCTAGGCTACAATGCTATAAAAATCTATCCAATGAAAATCATTGGAGATAGAGAAAAAAGAACCTTTCATTTTAGCCTATGTGCTGCCAAAGGGAGCACGAGAAAAGATGCTGCAACAGAAAGTTTGGCCTGGTCCAAGATCAGTGACCAGGGTCACCATCTATTGCAATTAAATTAGGTAAGTTAGCTATATTGTATGATTTTGGAATATAAGAGGGGCAAATGTGAAAAGTTCAAAGGTGGCCAGGTGGGGTGGCTCACACCTGTAATCCCAGCACTTTGGGAGGCTGAGGCAGGTGGATCATTTGAGGTCAGGAGCTTGAGACCAGCCTGACCAACATGGTGAAACCCTACCTCTACTAAAAATACAGAAAAATTAGCCAGGAGTGGTGGCACATACCTGTAGTCCCAGCTAATCTGGAGGCTGAGGCAGGAGAATTGCTTGAAACCAGGAGGTGGAGTTTGCAGTCAGCTGAGATAGCACTACTGCGCTCCAGCCTGGGCGACAGAGTGAGACTGTCTGAAAAAAAAAAAAAAAAAAAAAAGGAGAAAAGCTCAAAAGTATCTTCAGGTCAGTCACCTTCTATCCCTTTTCTCATTTTCTTTTCTTTATAGCTTTCACTTACCAATTATTTACTATTGATAAGTGAAATTGTTTTATTACTAATAATTTTATTAGTAACATTATTTTATTACAAATAAAATATTTCACTAGTAAAATTATTTTATTACTAATCATTTACCTCACCTCACTAGACCATAACTTCAGTACAATCAAGAACCTTGTCTTTCTAACTAAATGCTGTATTTCTGAAGTTGTGCCTAACATAAATATTTGTTGAATGAATATATAAATGTCTGGCCTTCCCTGGACTTTAACGGCAAAGACTTAGATTTACAAACTGGTTCAAAAGACTGTATTACAAATGCATACGTTATTAGCAATTTTTCATTGTTTAGTTTCTTAGATTGGCTAGGATACACTAAAAAAAGAAGAGGGGGAAAGAGCATATGTATTGGTAATGATAAGCCCTAAGTTACAGGGGTTAGTGGGTAGTCGCGGGGGTGAAACCTAAAAAATCAAGAGCCTTAGTGCCTGAAGTGCCAAAAATGGATGAGGCTTCCTGGTGTAGGATAAAAACCATCACAAAAACTAACGTCTCAATTTTGTCTCAGAAATTCTACTACCATAAACATTTACGGAAAGAAAGTGAAAGTTATATAGTTCATTTAATATGCTAATTACTTTGCATTGTACATAGCTTTGATTAGAATGCAACATTCCTGAAGTTCTTATTGAAATTAACATGTGTCAAATTTATGTTCAAACTGAGCACTGGTCTACCTTGTTTATGTATAGCGGGTTCTTCCTGAAGATTCATTATTGATGCTATTATACTCCTTGTTAGCATTACATCAGTGTTGATGAGGGTGTATAGGAATAGGCTAAGAACAACAAAAGAATCACATATGAAAAATGAAAATGAGTGAATAAACAGAGGTGTCTGCAATGTAGAGTGGGAAAGGCAATTAATGTCAATGAGGTTCTGGAGGGCCAAAGAAAACACCGTCTCCCCCAAAATGTAAGATACAGTTGCTAAATGTGTGGATTAAAATAGAGGATTCAGGCAGTTTGAAGTTAAAAAATGCAAAATTTAGAGGTTCTTAAACTTTTTGGTCTTAGGATTCCTTTACACTCCTTTAAAAATTGAAAACCCCAAAGAACTTTTATGTGCATTATTAAAACTGATATTTATGTTAGAAATTAAAATTGAGAAATTGGCCGGGACCGGTGGCTCACACCTCTAATCCCGCCCCCAAAGAACATTTATGTGGATTATTGATACTGACATTTATGTTAGAAATTAAAACTGAGAAATTGGCGGGGAGCGTTGGCTCATGCCTGTAATCCCAACACTTTGGGAGGTCAAGGCAGGTGGATCACCTTAGGTCAGCAGTTCAAGACCAGCCCAATACATTTTTGTATTAAAAATTTGTATTTTTACCGTGGTGACGGGTGCCTGTAATCCCAGCTACTTGGGAGGCTGAGGCAAGATAATCGCTTGAACCCAAGAGGCGGAGGTTGCAGTGAGCCGAGATCACGCCATTGCACTTCAGCCCGGGCAACAAGAGTGAAACTCTGTCTAAAAAAAATTAAACAAAAACAAAAAAAACCAACAAAAACCTGAGAAATTTTCAGTATTTCATTTAGAAACAATAAAGCAATCAAATGTTAAGATAATTTTTATATGAAAAATAACTACCCCTCTTGCCCCCAAATCGAATTTTTGCAAATCTCTCTAACATCTGGTTTAACCGCAGATGACTGGATTCTCCTATCTGCTTCTATTTTCAGTGTTTCCTTATCACATGTCATGTAGCCTCCGGAAAACCCCACTGTACACTTGTTGAGAGAATGAGAATGCAAAAGGCAGTCTTGACATTAACATGGAAGTAGTTTTGACCTTCCCCTTGAAAGGGTCTGGGGATCCTCAGACCACACTTTGAGAACAACTTTTTGAATTAGTCAATTTATTATCACTTGAAAATTAGCTATGAGGTTTCACAAACCAGAGGATATAGTGGGAGTTACGTTTTCAGAATGACGAAACAACGGACATACTGAGTGCCCTCATTATAACACACCCAGAGAACGCACAAAGATGCCATTTTCATCCGTCACATGAACCGAAGCCGAACTGAGGAGACTGGGTGTCAGGTAAAAGGATGTCGGGGTGGGGGTAGGGGTGACGAGCACCCTCTGAAGGCGCGGAGACCCGCTGGCACAGGAGAAGCAACGCCGGCAGAGGCGGCCGCCGAAGCAGTCCAGAGGAAAGACCTGTTTTTCTTAGGCAGGGAGGTAAAATGGTCACCGGGGGCCGGCGTGCTGCGGGAACTAGGCTCTGACAAGGAGCGCCCGGCGCCTCGGCTTCGGCGAGCGGGGGACCCGGCAACTGGCGCCCGGCGTCCGCGCTCGCGGCAGGACGCCGAAGGGGGTGGGCCAGGCCGGGCGCCGGGCACCCGGGTCAGGCCTTCCCCGCAACTGATGGGAATGAGATTTCCTCTCCGGCTCAGCGGGTAGAAATGGGACGGTGGGACGCTTAGCAGAGGACGTTAGACACCGGGGGGAAGTAGGGGAGCCCAAGCGCGGCGCCGGAGCCTCGGGGCGGCAGGCGCCCTCAGCTGGGGTATGGAGGTCGCCCGGGAGGAAGGACGGTTCAGTTGCTAGGCAACGCGGCCTGGACCCGCCTCCCGCTCGCGTTGCTGGGAAACGACGAGGCCAGGGGGAGGGCGGCGAGAGGGCCCTACGTGCTGACGCTAATTGTATATGAGCGCAAGCGGCGGGCTCTTGGGTCTTTTTTAGCGCCATCTGCTCGCGGCGCCGCCTCCTGCTCCTCCCGCCGCCTCCTGCTCCTCCCGCCGCCGCTGCTGTCCTGAGTCACTGCCTGCGCAGCTCCGGCCGCCTGGCTCCGCGTACTAGCCGCCGGTAACGGATAGGGGCCTGGAAGGGACGGGGGAACGTGGAGCTGGCTGGGCGGCCTGCGCACATGGGAGGGCCGGAGGGATGGAGGGACTGGGAGCCCGGAGTCGGGGCCGCTGGCCGCCTGAGGCCTCTGGGGTCGTCCAGTGAGGTCGGAGTGGACCGCGGAGTCCCGGCCCCACCGCCCCGGGGCCGATCAGCGCTTTTGTCCCGGATGGCTGAAGTGACGTGGGGGTCGGCGCGGCCTGAGGTTCTCTGAGCCCCACCGTCTTCTCCGCGTGGACCGGAGCGAGGCCGCGGCGACGCCCGGGTGCTCTGAGAGTGGGCCGCGCCGCGAGGGATCGGGAGGCCCCCGGCGTACCGGCCGGGCCGAGTGCAGAGCCGGCTCCTCTTCGACAGCCCCCTGCTTTTCCCTAAAAAATAATACGGGGAGGGAGGCCGCTGGGGGATGAAAAGAACGGCGGAGGCTGCGAATTCCGACGGGAGGGAGGGGCTGCGGAGGGACAAGGCCCCGAGGCGGGGAGGGGGCGGGGGAGGCTGCGAAGCTCCCGGGCTCTCCGCCCACTGGGGGCGGCCACGCGGGGAGGGGAAACCCCCGGCGGCTTCCATCCACACGTGGGACTGTGCTTCGTGGCCACCGGCTGGGCCTGGTTGGAGACCCTTGCCCTCGGGCTAACCTTACTTTGAAAGTTGCAGAGACAGTGGAATGTGAAAAGGAAGAGTGAGCTAGTAAGCCCTGTCCCTGGGTTTCGAACTCTTCCCTGCTTCTCTTTGGTCTTGATCTTTTTATTGGTACCCGAAGAGAGTGTGGATGTTAGCTGATGGTGAGGAAGGGCCTCCACTGCTAGTGCTCGAAAAAGTTAACACGTGTATAGCGCTTATGTTACTGTTAGTAGCGAAAGCTTGTAGTTGTGTATCCTAAGTAGACTTAGATGGGTGTCTTCATCAGGGCTTTTTCTTTGGGGAGTATTGATCCTAATCGATTTAAATTCCTAAACCAAGCTTGACCAACCGCGGCCCAGGACGGTTTTAAATGTGGCCCAACACAAATTCATAAGCTTTCTTAAAACATGAGGGTTGTTGTTTTTTTTTTTCGATTTTCTTTCTTTTTCTTTTTTTTTTTTCCTGAAAGGAGCTAAGCCTTGAAACATTGTTTTTCTTTCTTTCTTTCCTTTTTTTTTTTTTTTTTTTAAAGCTCATCAGCTAGTTAGTGTATTTTACGTGTGGCCTAAGACAGTTCTAGCGTGGCCCAGGGAAGCCGAAGCACCCCTGAACGGTTCTTAGATGAAAATAGAGTTTTGTCCTTTATAGCTTTAATTGTTCTTGGCTTTCTTACAAATTAGTTCCTTTATTGAAGTGACTAGAATAAGATACTTATGGATAGAATGACTATAAACTTAGCCAAGTTTGTAGCCTTCGACCTTGTCAATGAACTTCACTCCCCTAAAATCTCGGGGATGGCAATGTAGGAAGGCTTCGACTGAGGTCCTATCTGGGAAGGCTGGACTTTGAAGTACAAAACGGATGAACCAGGCACAGGATGTCCTCAAGGGGCCTCTATTTTAGGCGGTCACTGGTGATAAGTTAGTTCTGAAACAACTGCATTTTAAAATCTCACCGATGTATTTTAAGGTATCTCACGGCTGCATTTTTAAATTTACACTGCTTGCCTGGTTTCAGAAGAGCTGTAAAATGAAATTTGGCTTTTTGAAAATAGGTGGATTCAAAACATCTTTGGAAAGGAGTATCTGGATCCTCTTTTTTTTTTTTTTTTTTTTTTTTTGGTTCTTTAAAATTAATACTCTTATTCTTAGTTTGGAGGTAATACACATTACCTTTGATTGAATAAGGGGAAAACCTTTCGTGTGTAGGGTACCATTTAAAAATCAATGAGAAATAAGTGAATTTTACAGTTACCTTCAAGGGACTCTCGTGTTTCAAGCTTGTTTGAAGTTGCCCAAGTTTAAATAAATGGCCTAAACCTAAACTATAGTTCTAAGGATACTGTCTTTGGAGAATATATGGAACTAAACCTTAGTAGGTGGACTTGGACATCTTCTGTCATAAAACCTTGACTCACAGTTTCTCCTTCCAGGTCAACATTGTTTATTTAATAAATAGAAATTTAAAATTTTTCACTCTTCCAATTTGAAAATCCAAATTTTATTTACTACAAAGTACCTCTTTTTATATTAGGTCCATTAATTTTCAGAATTATAAAGCTAATACTGAATGTGGCAAATGACTGCACTTGGCCTTTAATGAGATTTTTGAAAAGAATACCTGTACCATAACTAATGTAATCCAAAATGCCATTCCTCACTTTATTCAGCCTTGCCCCTGTTGGCTCCTGGTGACTAAATTGATTCTAAATTTCTCAAAATACGTTCAAGACACAGAGTCTTTTTGTAGGAGAAGGGGCTAAAGAAGAAATATCTGTTGGACTTCAAAGGTCTGAAGATGTCAAATACAGTATTTTATTCTCTCTTGATTGTAAATTTAAAACAGGATTAGAACAAATGAATCCTCATCAATATCAACATATTAATGATCATTGTATTCAGATCTTCAAGTTTAATCAAACCCGTAATTACTTGTGTTCTCAGTTTATTCTTTGGGTAACTGTCTAGCACCTGTATGGACATGTGTCAGATATCATGAGCAAAAGAGGCAAATTGGTTGCTTAGATATGAAATGTTATATTGTGATGAATGCTGTGAAGGAAGAAAAGGGTAAAGTGGGGCATAGAGTAATACAACATTTACACAAAGGAACCTGTTATGATTGATGACTTTAAGTTCCATTTCAAGCTGATTTCATCTAAATAAGTTTTTGGACAGTGGAGAGGTTAGAAGAGAGTTGTTACTTTACACCTATCCGTACTTAAGTCCTTTAACACAATGACTGCAGAACATTAGTGTATATTACTGGGCTTGCCATAGAAAGTGGCTTCTATACCTTTGGTTACCTACTCTGCCTTTTACTTCCTAAATATTTGTATACATTTTGACTTATTCAGAAATTCTGTACATTTTGATTTTTATTGGGAACCAGGGTTTTATATATATTTTTTCCTTGTGGAGACAGGCTCTTGCCGTTTTGCCCTGGCTGATCTTAAATGCCTGGCCTCAAGCAGTCTTCTTGCCTTGTCCTTCCAAAGTGCTGAGTTGAGAGGTGTGAGCCATCACACCTGTCTAGAGTTGCAATTTTGGTCTTGGAACTATTTTCTAAAGAGGGTACAGAAGAGCATAATGGGTTAATAATGTAATAGCACTTAGTGATTATTCAGGCATTATTTTAAATTCTGTGTGTGTTATTAGTTCGTTTAATGTACTTAGAGACAGATAGCTTCAACATTTTAACAAGGAAATAGGTACAGAATGTTAATAACCCATCCATGATTATGTATATGAGCAGTGATAACTTATGATAAGATAATTTTTATCCTGGCTTTGAAAGAAAGTTGACTTACACTATTCTGCTATAAATCAGCATATTAGTCCATTTTCCGTTGCTTAGAATACCTGAAACGGGGTAATTTATTAAAAAGAATTTATTTCTTGCAGTTGTAGAGGCTGAGAAATCCAAGACCAAAGGACTACATGTGGTGAGAACCTTGCCTGTGGGGACTCTGAAGGTTCCCAAGGCAGCGCAGGGTATCACATAGGGAGGGGACTGAGCATGCTAACAAAGTAGCTCAGATCTCCAGTACCCTCGTGGGAAACTGGGTAATTTATAAAGAAATACATTAATATGTGAATGGATTAATTCCTTAGTGAGGGAAGAGGGGAAGAGCCCTCATGCTCCAATCACTTTTTTTTTTTTTTTTTTTTTTTTGAGACGGAGTTTCGCTCTTGTTACCCAGGCTGGAGTGCAATGGCGCGATCTCGGCTCACCACAACCTCCGCCTCCTGGATTCAGGCAATTCTCCTGCCTCAGCCTCCTGAGTAGCTGGGATTACAGGCACGCGCCACCATGCCCAGCTAATTTTTTTGTATTTTTAGTAGAGACGGGGTTTCATCATGTTGACCAGGATGGTCTCCGTCTCTTGACCTCGTGATCCACCCGCCTCGGCCTCCCAAAGTGCTGGGATTATAGGCGTGAGCCACAGCGCCCGGCCCCAATCACTAAGACCCCACCTCAGTGCTGTCACATAGGGGATCAAATTTCAACATGAGTTTTGGAGGGGATAAATAAAACTGTAGCAGCATAGAATTCAAAAGCACTCCACCTTTTATCCCAGTGTGCTCTAGGGAAAAGCCCTGTAGCAGTTATGGTCATGAAGTCTTCTTCCAACATAGAATTTGTTTATATATACAGTTATGCCTGGTTAATGATGGGGACATGTTCTGAGAAATGCATCATGAGGCCATTTCATCCTTTTGTGACTGTCGTAGAAATGTACTTGCACAAACCTACTACATACCTACTGCATACCTAGGCTATATGGCATAGCCTCTTGTTCCATGCCACAAACTGGTGTGGCATGTTGCTGTGTTAGGCAGTTTTAACTTTTTTTTTTTAATGAGTTGGAGTGGACTCTAATGACAAAAAGCATAGTATAGTAAATAAGCCAATAAGTTGTTTATTATCCTTATCAAGTCTTATGTACTGTACATAATTGTATGTGCCATACTTTTATATGACTCTGCAGTAGGTTTGTTTATACCACCATCACCACAGACATTAATAATGAATTGAGCTGTGACATTACTAGGCAATAGGAATGTTTCAGCTCCATTATAATCTTGTGGGACCACCGTTGTACATGCAATGCTGTGTTGACTGGTGACTGTGGTTGGGTAACGGTTTCTTAGCCTTATGTCTGCTCTGTATATCCAATCAGTTCAGTCAGTCGTCTGCCATCTTCAGTGGAAGGTTTTGTTTTTAGTTTGTTTTAGGAAGGAAGATTTGCATTCAGGAGATCAGGTATGGTGGCTCTCACCTGTATTCCCAGCACTTTGGGAGGCCAAGGCGGGAGGATTGATTGAGCCCAAGAGTTCCAG